TAAATCTATCAGAATTTCTTGTTGGTCTAATAATGCCTTCCCGTTGAATCTACCAGATTTTCTTGTTGAGTGAACAATTATTTTCGTAAACTCTACCAGAACTTCTTGTTGATCGAATAAATTTTTCCCGTTAACTGTACCAGATTTTCTTATTGGTCTAATAATGCCTTCTCGTTGAATCTATCAGATTTTCTTGTTGAGCGAACAATTAGTTTCGTAAATTCTACCAGAATGTCTTATTAAGCGAATTAATTTTTTCAAGTTATATTCTCTATTCTGCACACATTAGGGCTGCATTCCGTTTCACATATGATACGCATGATGCATCTTTTATTCTTGTTATTTACCGAATGTTAACAAAGATAAACAACATGCGTGAAACGGACGTAGCCTAGGTCTGTTGGCGTTGCTTGCACTTTTGGTACTCGGCACCTTTGTTTTCTCTCTTTTCAAGGCCAAATATATAACTTATCTCATTTTTCAGGTGCAAAAATATTTGGGAATTTCATGCAACGCGAACAGACCTATTTGTCGTACGACAAAAACGCACAAATGAAATGGCGGCCTAAATGCAACATGAGTATTATGCGTAAAACGAAATGCGTCCATTATCTATGTACAAAGCAATATCGTTACAGAAATATAAATTAATGTATTACTAACCTTTAAAAACTTCTATATATTTTTCAAAATTCCATTGGCGAAGAAGAGAAGACGTTTTTTCGTCAGCCATGCTACTTCAATAACGCGTTTGTATAAATGTTAAAATTGTTCATCCAACTTACACTTTTTTTACTTGTTTACGTATCCGCTCGATTCGCGCGACTTGCGCGAACTTGCACAATGATGCAACTACCAAGATGCGCTAGCGTTAACAAGAATTCTGGTAACGTTGCGCACGTCTAGTGAATATAACTAGAAGTTTTGTAGATCCAATTGAAAAATATTAAACAGATCCTTATAGTATAATCTACCAAACGATCTAGTCATAAAATTTCGAGTCCTATTATAATAACCAGAAATTCTGCTAGATTTAACCAAAATGCATTTAACCATATACATCTTGTTGATATAATTAAACCATTTTTCTCAGTGTGTCTATATGAATATTTGGCAGTTTTCTGATCAAGTCAAAAAAAAAAAACTATTATTTACGTGACTAGAACCTGTCGGAAGTCGGAATACTTGCACATTGTATAAGAACGAAAAGCAAGGTTATAAAACGGACTGTCAATCGAAGTATAGAAAATTATAATAGTTATTAAGAGAGGACACGAGAACGAGAAAAAAGATTAGGGTTTTGTGTAAAAATTGTGCAATAATTGAGTAAATGTGATATTAATGTAAATTAGTGTAAAGTGTCTAATTTGAAAGGCTGTGACATTTATGATACAAAAAATAAGGAAAGGATGTAGTTTTAGGTTTAGATAACAGCAATATTTAGCTATTTCTCAGATTTTAATTAGCCATTAATCGTAGATATCAATGTATGTGTAAGATTAAGAGAAAAAATTGTAAACCAAGTCTTTTCTTGCTATATAAGCTGAAATAATAAATTTCTATATATTCTCGTTAGAGACTAATCGCGTAAAGCGGAATGAACGAGTGCGCATGGTACACTCAGGACACCGCGTACGTGGGGACGGGCGCAATCGGATTTAATAAAAATTCCAACTCGCGAGCGAAATGTGGATGTTTGTCATCCAGGGACAGGCGTGCTGCCGCTGCTGCTGGCACTCACGATCAGCAGCCTCGCCTCTCGTTCTGTGGCCCGAGGCGATGGAATAACTTCAATAACAAACACCAATCGCCTTCGTAGAAGGCGGCAGCAAGCCTGGTATCTCTACCTACGTGTCCGCTCGTGTACACCACGTTCACACGACGGAGGAAGACTTTCCAATCATTTTCTGTTACTACTAGAGTGTAAGCTCCTCCGTTCCCCTCTTCCTCGTTCGCCTCGGTCCCGTAGGTGCGAGTGTGTAACTCTTTAATTACGTGAATAAATCTTTCTACTGTCGAAAAAAAAATTGTGTACCGACGCGACGTGAGATAAAATAAAAAAAATAAAAAAATAAAAATGTTATTAAATAAATAAAATATAAAATGAACACGACCAAGAAAAAATAATAAAGATTTTAGGAATAGCTTTCAAAATGTATGTATTTAGACATTTTGACTTTACTTTTCAACAACAATAAAGTGATATTAAACGACTATGTGAATAACACAACTAATAATAGGAAAATATCTTATTCAGATTTAGCTAGATCTTAGTGTTTATAATTAATAATATTTTAATATGAATTTATATGCAATATCTGGTTCTGTAATTGTACGATTTCATTTACGGTCTGGAAACGCAACCCTAAACTGAAACTTGAGATAGCAATATCAGAAATTAAATTGCCAAGCAAATTAATGATATTGATGGTAATAAGCAGTTATTGTAAAAAAACAATAACTTTTTTCAATTTTATATTTTATTTCTGTTACGTTTGAGGAAGAAGGAACGTGTGTTCACGTTTCGAATGAAAAAATTAATTTACGTATAACACGTTCAAATCACTCGGGAAGGGTTAAAATTGCTCGTGGCTTCGATGGAACTGGAATCGAATTTCGCAGAAGGTCAGCCTTTTACATATCGCTTGACGAAATAACTCACAGATTGAAATATTTTATCATGCTATAATACTATCACAGTCTGAAATATTTTGGTAAAAAATAGTTAATGCGATTAATTGTATAATGTACGATCATGATTTTTAATTGTTTAGACTCAATCTTTAAACGTAATGAGTAGAAATAGCATTTCTTTCGGCTAGCGCTTTTCGGGAAATTCTGTTAAAAAAAATTTAATTAAGACAAAATCGCATCGATTCAATTATGCAAGATGATTGGAGTGCATGGATGCTGAAACTCGATCGTCCGCCATTTCCGATTGGTTGCATGTGGTGATGACCTCCTTCGTGCGTTAATATCCGCGTTATCGAAGAATCGCTGTCAATTGGCATCGCGTCGTTATTGCGCTATCGCTACCATTTACGGTGTCGTCTACCGTATTATTATTTTCGGTTATTGCAGGAATTACCGAGCACACGAGAGACACGCTCGCCATCGAACAGCTCGCACTTACGACGCGCGGTCAGCGTTAAAACTTGGCTGCGAATGCTGCGACACAGCCTGTGATAACATCGAATAGCATCTTAATAATAGACAAGGGGCAATCGGAATGGGACGACTACGTTTAACGCTAAATACGCTATAGATGTCGATTAACAGCGGAGTCGTTATTCGAATTTAATGAATGAATTATGATTCTATTAAAGCAAATGAAAACAAAAATTAAAAATATATTTGGAAGAAACTTTCGAATGGATTAATTACAATACTTAACAAAATTTGTCGATTTTATTTTTTACATAAAATATAAAGTTAATACACTCAAAGGAAAATATAATAGTAGTAATTACAAAGGTGACAACTGTACAAATTTTATATGTATAATTACACACACAGTTAGAAAAACTATAAAATAGTTTATTCAACTATATGTATTAACATTAATTCTACATATAAAATACTTGTATAGTTGTCACCTCTATAGTTGCTGTCACTATTTGCTACCATTTACCCTTCTTATATATTTTCTCTTTAACATTTATCTACGCTTTTTGTACTTTACAAGTTATTTTTTGTTACAATCTTTATGTATTTCTATATTTAACGCCGATTTTAGAATGTTTTCGATTATTATTTCTTGTTAGCATCTTATTTGCAGCGAATGCAAACGAATTTTTGTGTCAACAATGTTCATTCAAACGATACTCAGAATCGAACAATCGCGCGCGCGCGCGCGCGTGTGTGTGTGTGTTTCGTGCTAATTAAAGCGCAAATATATACAAGAACATTGATTTACGATATTCTGTGTATCGAAATGTTATTACGATCGATAGGATATTTTTTGCCTTAAACTCGTTTTAGAAAATAACCGGTCTCCTTGGGGTTTCGGCAGTGCGTTTAGGTGCTAATTGAATTACCGTTCGACGGATAGCCTTCCGATACTCGGAAAGATGTGCTTAAGCGCATGACACGATCGATCAGATACATCGCAGATGTATTTGCGTCTCTCCCGGCTTTCTCGAGAACTGAGAGCGGGGCAATGAAAAAATGTGCATCGACCATCACCGTGAATATAGATCGCCATTGAAGATAATTCCGTCGACGTCGCTGATGCGATCGCGTTCTCGTAAAAGTATTAGACCGAGTGCACCCGGCCGATATGCGTCTCTCGATTGATTGCGGATTGATAAATAATCGCGACTTGAGTCGATCCCGCTGCAACGACTCTGAAACTCTTGCGGTCCCGCGACGATTCCGCGAAAGCCGCGTTGCAAATAGATCGATCATACGCACCGACGCGCTTTGTTCCGCGATACCAATCCACCCCCATCATCAAAAATAGCTCGCTTCTCTTTAAATGGAGAGTTTCGGCGAAGCTCAAAGAGAAAGAGAGAGAATGAAGACGGAAACTCTTAACTAAACAAAAATTACGACAGCGTGGCCGTAATAGTTCCCCCTTCGGGTTCCGCCAAAACTTTTTTCGTCCTCGCGTGTTCTGTCAACAAGCAAACTCTTGGAGAAACGATTCTTTTGACGAGCGGAGGAGGAGGGAAAACAATCTCGGAAGAGACGAATTCTCTGCGGTTCCTCGGCCGATAATAACAACTCGTCGAGAGGAACCAGGGTTCGATCGTGCTCAAATTTCGAACGCTTCTTTAATTGGAGGCGAGCTATTTATTTTCCATGATTATAGAGAGGAGGCCGGTCCGGTCCGTCCGCCGCAATCCGGCGCGATCGCGATCGCGGCGGATCCGGGCGGATCTTTCTCGCGCGCTCTCGTTGGTAGGAGGCAGGGGGACAAGGAGGAGAAGAAGAGGTAGGAGGTGGAGAGGGCAGGGGGATCTATCTAACGGCGATAGACAAAGTCGATCGATATTTACCTGGCACTACTCCGGCGGCGTGTTCCAGCGGCGGGACAACGGTGCGCGCCAGTTACCTACGCGCGTGAGAAACTATTTTAAGAGCGCGCAACCGGTTCGCGCGTTGCGACGACCGCTGCGGGACATGTTTCCTCGGTAAGAGGAGAAATCCTTCCTCGCATCCTCTAGGAAGGAGCGTTTTCTCTCAGCGGTTTCAGCGAATCGTCCAATCGCCCGCGACGCACGAGAATCCGGCCGCTCTTCGTGTTCGCGAGGATATGTCGGAGAGATCGTTGAGGCACAGAATAAGATGCTGTATGTGACACGCAAAAGACGATGAGATGTATAGTTCTCTTGGACGATGACGAGTCGAAGATCTTGACGATTTTTCGCGATCGTAAAATGAATCGATCCACGCGTTCGCCAACGTTCGCCAACGTTCGATGAACGTTCTCTCGTGGGAATCGCGCACTTAGATCACAGCGTGTTTACGACGCAGCGCGCTCACGCCTCTCTCGCGAGCACCGTACACGTCGTCAAAACAAACTCGCGGAGTGACGGGCGTCCGTCTTCCGCGAGGATCCTTTTCCTGCTCGACGGCGGCGCGTACGGCGTGTCCCATCCAGCGCGAAGGATGCACCTGTCGCGGTTTTACGACGTTACCGCGTTGCGACGCATCGCGATGTACTTGCGTCGTGCGAATCGCAATCGCGATCGCTCGCTCGATCGGGGATCGGCGTCGGAGGAGAACGGTGGAGAACGGTGGAGAATACCCGTTTCGTCGTAGCTTTTTCAAAATTTCGCGGCGATCTTTCGCGAAACGGTGCGAGACAGAGAAGGAAATAGGAAAACAGATAATAGAAAGAGATTTGTCGGCGGGTGTGACGAATCGAAGAGCAGTTCTCATTGGACTGAATTAAGAAAGAGCGTGGACCGCGAGGACCTCAGAGAGAAACGGAAGAAGGAGGAGGAGGTGGAGAAGGAGGAGGAAAAGGAGGTGGTGGCGACGGCGGCTGGTGGTAGTGGTTTGTACCGTCGCGGATCTCTCCGCTGGAGGTGGAGAAGAGAAGAGGGAGAGAGCATGAGCGCAACAGGAGAGTGCGAGCGAGAAAATGATGAAGGAAGAGAGAACGAGAGGCACTCTCGTTAAAAGAGAGAGAAAGAGAGAGAGAGAGAGAGAGAGAGAAAAGAGAGAAAGAATGAGTCCGCTGATGGTCGGATAGTTCGGACTACCGACTGCATAAGACTGGTTTTCAATTTTTTCCCGACTTTTTGTTTTACCTGTGCTGTGCCTCACACAGCCTCACCGTGTCTCTCTATCTCTTTCCTTCCCCCTGTTCTTCGACTCTCTCCTCCTCCTCCTCCTCCACCCCTTTTCCCTCCCGCAGAGCGTGCTGGACGAGTAACGGGTGAGCCGAGAGCTCCGAGCCGCGCCGCCGCCGCTGCCGATCCTCCGCTCCTCGATCGCCGGCGGTCGATCGGGTCGACTCCGAAATCCTCGGGGACGGATCTCTCTTCGTGGATGGTCCCGCATGATGAATCTTTCGGCCGCTGGGTGCATCGGGAATTTTAGGACTGAGAACAAAGCTCGGCTATTAGACCGAAACTGTTGTGTCAGATCCATAAGCTCCACGCGTATTTTTCAAATTAAAGTTCCGGAAAAAAACAAATATATTTCTAATTACATTAAAAATTGTGAAGCACGATCTCTTTTTCTAGTTGATGTGCAATTTGTACAATTCATGATTGATTTTAATGGAAATATTAATTAACTGGAGAGGCTTTTGATAGTTTTACCGTTAAAATCTATAAATGAATTAGGCATGATTTTTATCTCTTTCAGACATATCGTGACGTTAATATGTACATTTAAAAATAGAAACTGAATAGTATATCAAGGACTTTAAGAAACATCTATTATAGCATACGCGCGAAAGTAGCGACTTTTTTCGTCAATAATATAAATCGCGTATGCTAATAGCTCCATAATCCGAGAAGATTTATCTCCAGCGAGTTTTGCAATAGAAACCCAATATGAGTTAACGATGTAAAACCAACTCAACTTGTTTATGCGTCGACTGAACTATTCTGTATATCTAAAATAAACGTTGTCTTTCACTTTCCATCAAAAACTAAATTGCAACTATTGCTAAATATTAATTCCAGTTAATCGTTCGCTAATAATAATCTTCAGTGGACACAGAGCCGGCTCTCGAGTATCGATCAAGAATACTACTCTCATCGAGTTCCAGGTTTTAAGTAATTTCAGAAGCACGAGATATATCGCAAATCTTTATTTCAAACAAAGTGTTCAAGGCAAATTAGCGAAAAAATACTCCGAGAAAAACATAGTGGTGATAATTATAAGCAGTGACAGTTACATAAGTTTTATATGTAGAATTAATGTACATATAATATGGAATAAATTATTTTATACTTGCAATAATTATAAAGTAGCTTTTATTCAACTGTGATGTGTATACTTTATAGATAACTACTGTCTTTTTTTCTCCGTGAAGAATAAAATGATTACGTTTATTTTTATTATTTACGATTATTTTTATTTATCGCTGCTTTTTCAGCGCTCCAATTTTACAATTTTTCTCCCGCGTTCTGCATCTGATAATATCTTGCTGCGATTTTCATTTCGCGTCATTGCCAAATTATCTTGCTATAAAGTCTTTGCGCGATCGGCTCGAAAACTTTTCCCGCGACAAGTCCCGCGAGTTCTTCGCCGGGAACGTTCAAAGCGGGGTTGCGAATACCGTAGATCGCCGCGTCTAACGTTGGTATTCACGCCCGTGCGTTTCTGCGCGCTGCCAGCAGCGGAATGCAGATGAGTGCAGATTGCATTCGGAGTATTACCCAGTGTGCGAGACACCTTGGGTCTTTTTTTGCGTTGCGAGAAAGAAAACACGCGAAGAATTCGAGCGCGCAGAAAAATCCGACACTCTGCGATTCGCGCGTTGCGTAAGAGGAAGTTCACGAAGTTTGCGCATGCACTTCGGATTAAGTGTTGCGGATTGTGAAACCCTTGAAAAGCTCTCGATCGTCAACAATCCGCTTGTATGGCCGGTCGTTTTAGCTGGAATTTAGCTGCTCATTTCTCGCTGCTTGTTATCGATCATAATTCATCCCGTTTTCCATTCGAGGATGCGCATCGGCAAGCGTAATCGCATTTTTATTCCAAGGCTATACAATTCATTATATTGCCATCTATGTAAACACTTCATCGATACAATGTGTGTATAAAGAAAAAAACTCGACAGTTCATACAGTGCTCAATTATACTTGATGTAATCTTTATAAAGACATTATATATAAGATTGGCAAATTTCGATGGTTAAAAGATTCACTTCCTTCGAATTATGATTATTTATTTTGTGAACCGGATACTTATCTCATTTCGATGACAGTATTGTAGATTTAGTAGTAACATATGAAAGTAATTTTTCACGAGAAACAAAATCTGACTGCATCAATTGGAAATCTGGTAAATTCTGAAAGATATTTATTCTTAGATACTTATTAATAAAATTAAGTATTTATAATTAAATCTATCAAAAATTCCTGGTTATTTCTGATCGAAATAATCAGAAATTCAATTACGATAACTAGAATTCTTATTAGTATAATCAGAATGCATTTCGTTCATATACGTCTTGTTGATATATCAGAAAATTTTTTTAATATTTGTAAAATAAAAGTATTAAACAAGTAATAAATATCGATGCTTGCTAAATATATTATTTTTGAGCTAAATAATTATTGAAAATCTTCGCTGTATTTAATTAAGCGGTAAATTAAGCGGCAAATTATACCGCGAGTTACCATGACATACAGAAAATACAAGTTTGCTGACGGTATATGTGTATCTTGCTCACGTAAGGTGTCAAGTAAATAAACATTTTTATTCGCTCGCACAGTCGCTTGCACGATTTCTCGCAATCGATTTCACAACGTTCGACGGTATATAAAGTTCTGTCTAAGTAACAACGCAACGATTCTTCTCGATGCATTCCGAAACTCTCGTCGCAGATGTCCGGTTGATCTTTCTCGCCTCCGGACTCCCCTCGTCACGACGAGTGCAAAATTGAAGGCTCGTGACATTTGCTTACGCTGACGCGTTTTCAATGCAACATCCGCATATCGATTACGAAAAGGAAAAATGACGCCGCAATCCCGACGCGGCGTGCGCGGACTGCGAGGGGAGCAACAATTCATTCTCGATGCATTCCGAAACTCGCGCAGATATCCGGCTGACCTTTCTTGCCTCTCTCGATCGGCTCTCTCGCTCTCGCGCCTCGTAGAGTCAGGTATGAAATATGAAATTATTCAACGCCTTCGGTAATTTCCACGAGGAAAATAATGCGCTCGCAGATGGACGGTTATTGCAATCGTATCGCAACATCGAAAGGGGAGCGATCGTGCATACGAAGGACTCTCCGGCTGTGATGGCTGGACTTGCGAGCTTGACTCGAGCCAATTGGGTGCTCGGATTCTAGTTCGGAACGCATTAATATGGCGATAACATAATATAGATGTGTGAGAAGCTTATGGGACACTTTTACTTTATGCCGAATGGTTATCTCACGGACAGAACAAGTTTGCTAAAACATGTAAAAATTTTTAACTCGATACTGAAAAAATTTTGTTGGATCATTAAAATAATTATATAGGACGTTGGAGCATAATGAACAATATTGCAAAAAATTTTCCAAGCGTTCTACATAATTATTTTGATACTTTTTAGACTTGATACTTTTACACTTTAGCAAAATCGTTCTTTTTTTGTAGATGAAGTATCAAATTCCGATATTCCTGATTTCGTTTTAGAAAACACAAACTCCGGTAAAGCAAATAATAATCAAGTATTGTGTTGCCCTTTCATAGAAAGAAGTGTTTTTCTGTGTTACAATTTTACTACAATTTTTCTAAATTATGGCAAAGTTATGAAAATGTGATAAATTTAGATGAAGGAATATTTTTGCTGAATGCGTACCGGTGACCTAAATTGTACCAATAATAGGTACAAATACAAACAGGTGAAATATCGAGCTACAATTTCCAATATTCATTTGCGTATAAATCAATGCCAAATGGAAAACGTAATAAAAATTGCTTAAGTGATACGCATAATTGCTTAAGTGGCAACTCTCCCCTAATATTTTTCTGATTTTTTCTTCAAATATAACATTGTGAAACGTGCTTTTTTTACATTCGAAATGAGCTTTAGCTTTTTATTCTGAGAAACATATATTACCATTTTCTTTTGGCTGCATATAATATTTTGTTTTCTCAGACATTGTCTAAGGACCCACAAAAATTGTATAGGAATGACATAATATTTAAAAAATGATATTTTAGATAGTATGATTCAACAGGATGTACCAAAGTTATCGATGTTGTCTTTATCTGACAATACTCGGAACAATTTGGAATAGATTTATCTTTAGTATATGAATTCCATTTTTACTGATAAGCCTAGTTATTCTAAGTGGTCGATTTCAAGGATTCCTGTTCAATGATTGCGTGAATGAGGACCGACGGTGACGTACGATACAATTCCTGTTGGCAACATGTCACGACATGCCAGCGTCCATCGCCGCGTCCGTTCTTCTAGGAACCGAACGAGGGAGAGCCATCCAGTTCCGCGAAAAAAGTATGCCCGGTATAAGACAACCGCGAGATATGGCGGAAGCGGCTAAATGCTTAAACGCTCGAAAGCCAAGCTTAAATGCCGCTGATTGCAGTAGGAGGGAAATGAGAGGTTGCACGATGGATGACGATATGTAATTCCGTATGTCCATTCTTGAAGGCGGTGGTTAGTGACGGCACTCGTTGGTACTCTAGTATCGAATATTTGTCGCACAATCATCGCACGGAGGGCTTCTCTCGCGCTTTCTCTCTCTCTCTCTCTCTCTCTCTCTCTCTCTC